CGGAGGGAGGGCAGCGGCGGACGAGACCTTCGCGAGGGGCTGAGGATGACGGCCTGCGGAGGTGACGAACTCACGGAGGAAGACCGTCGCTCGAGGGCCGCGACTGATTGCGGGAGGAGGGTTCGTCGGCTTCAGCGGAGACGCATCGCGAAGAGGGCTCGCCGGAAGTGCTGCTGCCGCGGAGGAGTGCAGCGGTTTTGGTCGCCGGAGTCGGGGGTTGCTGTGCGAACGGGAAAGTCGCCGGAACTCGCTGGTTGCCGGAAACGGGCCTGCAGATGGTTCTCCGCAAGAGGAGGGAGACGACGGGCTCGTGGCTTGCTGATCATGAACGAGCTGCGCAACTGAGAAGGGTTCACGGCGGAGGTGGTCGTCGGAGTTGCAGGCTCGCGCGGTGGACAACTCGCCGGCGGGAGAGAGGGCTCGCAGCGTCAGATTTTGCAGAGGGGAGGTGATGGCGGTCGGTGATGGTTATTGGTTCTGATGATGAAGGTGAAGTTTAACAAAGAAGACGACAGAATTTTCTTCTTCTGGCCGAGCGAGATGCGTTTGAGAGAGAAACTCAGATTTTTGAGAGGGATGGTTTTGAGATTGCGGCATGTGTGATGATGATGACGAGAAAACGAGATTAAAATAAGACTTAGGCTTTTGTCTTGTCAATCAAGACACACACACTAATGGGGCGGACCGAGTCGGGCTCGCAGGTTCTCTCAGGCTCGGCTTCCGGATTCCTCGGGTTCAATTAGCCATCTTAATTTAATTCGGTTCGGTTCGACGATTTTAGTTAAAATAAAACAAATATTATTTATGTATATTATTACACACTTATTTTTAAAATAATAATTTTTAATAACAAAAATAAATTACGCAATTTGACAATTAATTACAATTAATCAAATAATATTATTTAGACATATATATATATATATAATACACATTATTTATTGAATAAATAACAATAACATTTAGACATTTAGGCATTCAATAATAATAATAATAATAAAATTAATGATGATAATAATAATGATAAATAATTCTCAAATATTCCATAATCAAACAGGTTTACAATCGGTTCACGCGATTAAACCGAAATCGCCGAACGAAAAATGTTTTTCAATGAAACAATCGAGTATTCCAACCATTTATTTAAGTCGACACCGCGATTAATAAATTAAATATAACCTTATAAACAATATTCGATAAATAGAATATTCCGAGAAATTCTATAAATCGAACGGGGCACTACAGAAACCAAATTGGTAAGCATGTCTCCACGCTTTTTGGAAATCGTTTTTTCAGCTCACGGCCGTCTTCAGAGCAAATTTCAGAGGTGATGGATAGTGTGGAAGGGTGCATTTCTTCAGAAGCGGCTTCCATGCTAGATGAACCATATACTGAGGAAGAAGTTTGTGCTGCCTTAATGAGTATTGGCCCGTATAAAGCTCCAGGCATGGATGAGTTTCAAGCTATTTTTTTATCAAACACACTAGGATCTTCTAAAGCCTAATCTTCTTCCAGCTTGTCTTAACATTCTCAATCATGGAGGATCTTTCGAGGGGTTTAATGATACAATCTTTGTCTTGATTCCGAGAAAGAAAAAACCAGTTATGATTACAGATTTTCGGCCCATAAGTTTATGCACGGTTTCTTACAAAATAATTTCAAAAGCAATGGCTGCTAGGTTTAAAAAGTGCTCAGTCCCCTTATCTCAGTAAACCAAAGCGCTTTTGTTCCTAATTGGCTCATAACGGACAATGCAATCCTCGCTTTTGAAATGCTCCACTAAATGTCGAAAAAACGCAAAGGAAACTCACATTGGATGGCTCTACAATTAGACATGACTAAAGCGTATGATCATATTGAATGGGATTTTGTTGCCTCGATGCTCTTAAAAAAGGGGTTCCCTCCCCGCTTCCGTCGCTTGATATGGCAATGTATTTCGACTGTGAATTTGACGTTTCGGATTAACGGCCAACTCGTGGGAAATGTCAGACCTTCTCGCGGCCTTCGACAGGGCTGCTCTTTGTCACCATATCTTTTTATCCTTTGTGCAGAAGGATTATCGGCGACTATCAATAAAGCAGAAATGGCAAAATTTCTTACGGGTTTCAAATGTAGAAGACTTGGACCCCCGATCTCACACCTTTTATTTTCGGATGACTCAATCATTTTTTTAAAGACTAATTCAGGTGAGACAACAACCATTGTTCACATTTTGAGAATCTATGAAGTGGCTTCAGGTCAAAAGGTCAATCTTGAGAAAACAGCCATCTCGTTTACTCCTAGTACACCTTTGAATGTGCGTCTAGCGTTATGTTCCACTTTGGGAATCCATTCTCCTTCTTCTCACAATACTTATTTGGGTTTCCCATATCTGATTGGCCGAGACAATAGTCAAACTTTTGCGACTATGCAGGAGAAAATTTAGAAGCGATTCCACTCATGGCGGCGTAATCTTTTTTCTACAGCGCGGCGAAAAATCCTAATCAAAGTTGTGGTGCAATCTATCGCCACTTACATTATAAGTTTATTTCAAATCCCAAAGTTGATTTGTGACCAACTGAAGAAAATAGTTGCCTAATTCTGGTGGGGGTCTCGAGATGGTGAAAGAAAATTGACGTGGGTCAAATGGAGCTGGCTAACTGTGTCTAAGCCACAAGGTGGTTTGGGTTTCAGAGATTTCACAATTTTCAATTAAGCTTTGTTGGGGAAACAAGCCTGGAGAGTGCTATCGGCATTGAACTCTCTAGTGTCTAGAGTTCTTAAAGCTAAGTATTTTTCATCGTGCCAGTTCTTAGACGCTTCTGTTCGACCGGGTTCTTCCTTCATATGGAGAAGCCTCGTGTGGGATCGGGAAGTCATCCAGGATGGCATGCGCTGGAGAGTAGGTGACGGTAAGTCAATCAGGGTTTTTTCGGACCCTTGGATCCCTCATTTTCATGGATTTAGGCATATCTCTCACTATTTGGCGGGCATTGATAGAGTTAGCGATCTAATTGGAAGGATTGGGATTGGAATCATGACTTAATTAATAGAGTGTTCTGCAAATAGACGCATTAAAAATTTTATCAATTTCTCTTGGCCGGTCTCTTCATCCTGATCGAATCATTTGGCACCATTCTAAGAACGAGGATTACACAGTGAAGAATGGATACCATTTGGTCAAGCAACGAGGTTACATGGAATCCTCTTCCTCTTCAAACATGACCTGGTGGTGAAATGCTTTGTGGAAATTGAATATTTTACCAGAAATTAAAATGTTTCTATGAAAGGTGTGTAACTCGGCGATTCCTTCAGCAGAAAATCTTGCTAGGAGGCATATTAGGGTGGATGCAAAGTGTCCCAGATGTTCTGGCTGGGAATCTAAAAATCATATTTTCTTTGATTGCTCTTGGATTAAGAAGTTGTGGAAAATTTCAGGTTAGTAGGATACACTTGGTCCGTTACGAGCTTCGAGTTTCTCTTTTATCTTTTGTCACATTCTGGGTAGTGACCAAGGGGATGAATTTCCAGGTTTTGCTTATTTATTGTGGATCATTTGGCATGAACGGAACTGTATCAAACACGGATTGCAAGGCAAAACAATGGAGCAAGCATGGACAGTAGGGAGCGCGTGGCAAGAGAAGACTAATAAAGTGCGTTCGGGGCGACTCTTTCTAGAACGTGGTTTGCTTACACCGACTATCGATAGGTGGGTTGGTCCCGGAAATTGTCACAATGCACTCATATTATTTTGCGATGCCGCGGTACGGGACTCAACGATTGGTTTGGGAGGGTGAATAGGCGACTCGGAAGGATTGTGTTGGGTGGCTTTTGCAGTTTGTATTTCAGGCCCTTTTTCATCAGTTGCAGTCGAAGCTCTAGCTCTCAGGTATAGACTTCGTTTTGCTCTTGATTCGGTTTATCAATTAAATATGCTAAGGCAGACACCCTAGCTGTTATTTGTGGTTTGCTTGAGCTTTCGCATAACGACGCCTTGTTTCAAGTATTTGCGGACATTTTATCGCTTTTGTTGAATCTCAATGCGGGTCTTGCAGCCATATTGATAGGAATGAAAATTTTGTTGCGCATCATCTAGATAGTCGGGCTTTGTTGTCGACGGGACCCTTCTTATGGAAGAATTGTCTCCCGTCTTTCTTATCTCCTCTTTTTGGTAATATACAGAGACTATATCTCAGTTGATCGTTTAATGTAATC